GTGTGTGTGTGTGTGTGTGTGTGTGTGATTGTGTGTGTGTGTGTGTGTGTGTTTGTGTGTGTGTGTGTGCCTGTGTGACATGCGTGCGTCTGTTCGGATTTCGGCTCGTGTAAGTTTTGGAGCATCCTGCACCCCCAACATGCTGTCACAATCCCCGCCCTCCCCCCGACCTTCATGTTTGCCATGACAAGCACACAAAGCACACAGCAATGCCCAAGAACGCTCACACTTGCCACGCAACAGCACACGCAGAGGCACAGCGACGCAACCCTGTCTGCACCTCCGGACCGCTGCAGGGTACCAGTGGGAGCACGGCTCCTGTGTCTACTTTGGCGGCTTCCTGATCTACAGAAACTCAGGCGGCACACCCACCCTCTTCTACAATAACGGTGCGCCTGAGGGCGCGGCGTGCCGCTGCTCCTCTCGCTCGTGCTATCAGCGCACGCCCCCGCCCGACCTCGACCCAATGGGCCGGCCTCCGGGCGCTAAGGGCAGGCACCGGACTGCGGCCGGGCGTGCCCCCGGGGATTCCTTGAGCGCTGGAACGCGGTCCGGCATCTTTGAGCGAGCCTGGCCCCGGGGCCCACACGGCACGCCCCCAGCCCGCGCCCTGCAGCCCTTTGGCGCCGCGGCTCGGAGGCGCAACCCCCAGGCACAATTGCTGACACCACCACGACCAACCTCGCGCTCTGCCCCCGGGCCGGCCCGCCCCGGGCCCCCGCCTGCGTCCCCGACACCAATGAGCCTCCCAATGCTTTTCAGCTGTCGCAACGAACATTCAGCCGCCTCGGCGCGCCGCCGCCCCCCGCAGGCCGCGGCTCTATCCAAGCCGACTACCTGTGCCCGGACCCCAACTGGCCGGCGTCCGACGCGGCCAACGCGGGCAAAGACTGCTGGGTCGGGGCGGCGCGGTCCACCATGTCGGAGGACGGCAGCCAGCCGGCGTTCCTGAAGCTGGAGGACACCGTAACGGCCCTCTGCAACGTCGGTGGGTGCTCTCTGGGTGGGGTGTTGACTGGGGTGTTGTATGGGGGGAGTGCCTGGTTGGGGTATCACAGAGGCGGCGCGCGGGGCTATGCTGACACCTGAGCCGGGTGCTTCCCGTCCCCGCCGGCGAAGGCTCTGCTCTGCCCGGGTCACGCCTGAAACGGACCGCCGTGGAGAGCATTCATCATCCTGTCAGATTTATCCATCCACACATTCATCCATTCACTGACTCGTCCGTTCAAATCGGATATCATGAATCCATTTGACGTGCAGGCGTCAACAGCTGGGGCGACCGAATGGAGATGGCGCGGCTGCAGGCGTATGACGTCACCAAGGGCGCGGCGTTTCTGGGTGACTCGTGGCTGTCCGACTCCATCTTCAAGGTGGGAAGTTTGGTGTGAAGTCCTGCATGGCAGTCGGCACAGAGGGGTACAGATCCCAAGACCTGATGCGCTCTTGCAAATGTGCTTGGTGTACAACATCTGTTGAATATGCATGCCTCCGCGGACTGTCTTTGCTCTTTGCTTGCAAGTTCCCATGTTCAAACGCTTTGCCGCCCTGTTCACGCAACATGGTTCCATGTGACCCGCCGGCGCCCTCATCCACCCCAGCCCCAGCCACATCACGCCGCCACACTCTTGGCCAGAAACGAGGCAAACACCATTGGAACGCTGACACTGTTTGCCAGGACCCCCCAAAATTCATTACACGTCCACTTCGCGTCTGCCCGACCACCTACCTCCGCCCCGCTCCTTCCTCTTCATGGCCCAGATCAACACCACCAACAGTGAGAACGGCTGGAGCCAGTGGCCGTGGACCGATTACACCAAGTATTGGGAGGCGCCCCCCATCAAGGGCTTTGAATGGTGAGGGGTCCGCCGCAGACAGCCCGTCCCGCTGACGTCACGCGGCGTCACATCTCTCGCGCACGGCGCACCGCAGCGAGCGCGACCCCCCTCATCCGCGCCTGGCGGCGCTGGGGCGCGCACCGATGCGGTCGGGCGGCGCCCGCTTCTTGCCTAGGGGCAAAAACGAGAT